GGGGGATGTCTGTCAATCTTATATACTTGTGGGAGCCCGGTTTTTTTTTGGGTTGGGGGGGGGAGGGATGCTCAACATAATAGTTCTCTAATTTTGTAAAATCCTTTGAGGATTTAGTTTAAAAGTTTTTCTCACAAAGCCTTCCCAATGATTTGTCTAGGTGGTTTGTCATGTGAAAACATCTCGAACTTTATTGCCCTTGAGGATCGGAATGATACGTACACCTGGAGAGATGCCCTCAACAATACAAGGCAGTTGTTCGACTCTATTCAAAATTTCTCCAAGGTGAGGAAAGATATATATGTGTTTTGTGGGTGCTGTGGTGTGGTTTGCTTCTTCTTTCCTATCAAACGTCTTTTGTCTTTATCTCTGCTCCTTCTTTTTTGCGTTTGTTACTATCTTGTAACACTTCTAATCTTCGGCACTTATATGACCTTGTTGTGTTGCAAGTACCGTAAAACTCTTACTGAAACTAAAAAAACTGAATTCAGAGTCCTTCCTTTTAGATAGTGTTAAATTCAGAGCTTCCACCTCAATAATAGTGGTACACCTTTTAGATAGTGTTAAATTCAGAGCTTCCACCTCAATAATAGTGGTACATTAAGAGCTTCTGCAGTTGCGAGCGCTTTGAAACTCTTACTAAACCTTACTAAAAGAGCTTCCGCTTCTTAAACAATGTTAAACAGAGTACTCACCTCTTAATTAATGTTATATTTGGAGCTTTCACCTCTTAAATAATGTTAAATTCGGACCTTCACCTCGTAAACAATTTTAAATTTGAAATTTTCACCTTTTTAACAATGTTAAATTTGGAGCTTTCACCTTTTTAACAATGTTAAATTTGGAGCTTTCACCTTTTTAACAATGTTAAATTTGGAGCTTTCACTCTTTTACACTTTGCTACCACAAGGCTCATATAGTAAAAACTCTTGCCATCAAAGGAAAAGGCATTATGGGGAAAATCCAAAGAAACTGGGTGGTAAAAATTTCCGATTGTCGAGATGAGGCGGCAAAGTGTTAAACAATGTTAAATTTGGAGCTTTCACCTTTTAAACATCCTCTCTGTAACAAAAGAGGTGACTGGCCCATTACCATGCCTTTGGAATTTCTGTTGGCGATATAAAAAATGTCTTAGTGAACATGTTTTGCATGTTTTGTGTCTGTTTTCCAACAGTGCATCATGTTGGACAAATTTGTGGGCTACGACTCCCTGAATGAACTAGTCGAAGCTAGCCTGGAACATATTGAGAACAACACTTTTCTGGCTGGTAAGTTGTATGTAGGGGAAACCATGTGCAAGAGCAAATGTACTTTGGTAAAAAGTAACGATTCCCCCCCCCC